ATCATTTTTTGCTTGTTGGCCGGCGAAATACATTGCCCGTTTGGTGGCACCTTGGCCTAGCTGTATAACAATAAGGTATAGCTAATAGGAAAATTTGTGAAGATCGCAAAATTCTCATGCATTCTTTTCACCAACTGCTTGGGTACAAATAAACTAATTCCGCGTATTTTAAGACTCGGGGCATTGCTAGCTAGGTATTGCTTATACTAGATATTAATAAGGTAATTCAGGCAAAGTTTATTAAGTATATATTTTAGTCCAGTTTTGTACCTTTCTTGGAGCAACAGGATGATAAAATACCCAGCCTTTGTCATCAGCGTTGCAATCATGAAAGTTGTGATCCAGCGTGTGTGTTAACTGGCAGTTTGGAGTCTTCTTCTGGTGCTTTTTCTTAAAATTGTATCCAGCACAGAATGGATTTTGCAAACACTTCATGCCACAATGATTCTGGAAATCATACGTCGCTTCAGAGAGAATATCTTTTATCAAAGGACAAACATCTACAACGAAAAGAATATTTATCAGGCAAAGAAAAACGTTCACATGCGGATAACTATATATTGTTGCAGAAATGACATGGAAACATTAGAAAAAACACAATGACTCTATATGAATTAGAAGCAAGAATGAAGGCTTCCCTATAAATTAAACTTAGCTAAACTTACCTCCATACAGCGAGCGAAAAGGAATCGCCACGTTCGTGTGATCGTCACGCATGCAGTATTCTTGTTCCATTGTAACTGCAAGTGGCAACAAGATCAGGAACAGAAATCGCACAGACATGAGCGCTGTTCGAAGAAAGCGTTTCATTTCGTTGTTATGAGAGAACACAGACTCGGGTTGATCAATTTTTTGGTTGTTTTCTGCGCGTTGACAGCTAAACTGAACTAAGTGGCAAATGGAGGAGGCTAGGACGTTATATACCTGCAACGCGCTATGGCAGGGTACGTGATGCCCATGCAATTATAGGTTCATTAAAGAGGTCCTGAAGGGGGGGGGGGTCCCAATCCCATTTCCCACCTGAAATTTTGGCAAAATCCCAGTCCCAGTATTAGAAATCCCAGTCAATAGAAAACCCTTTATTTATCGGTAGAATAAACAGTTTTAAGACCTTTTAAGCATGTGGCGGACACTTTATGAAATATTAGGGGGAAAATTTTTAAATTTGAATCCCGGAAATGGCATTTGCAGCATCCTGAGACACGCATAATCAGAAAACCCAAAATTCCGGGCGCCAGAGTATGCCTGTTCGCAGGTAGTGCTGTGAATAATATAGTTAACAACAAAAATCATGACCAAAGACACCAAAAACGGATCAAAATTGTATTTTAAAATACTCAAAACGCAGAAAAATTGGGAATCGACTCGCATTACCTCAATCCCATTCCCATTTTTGAGGATTTCATTTCCCATTCCCAGTGGCCAAATCCCAGTCCCAGCAACCCAAATCCCATTTTCCCAGTCTAAAAATAGATCAATCCTAGTTCCCATTTTGCCCCTTCAGGGCCCTCATTAAAGAGAATGTTTACATTACAAAACCGACAAGCACTTAACGCATCCATGTTCATTTGCGTGTTAATTGCATGAATTGTGGCAAAGTATCGCTTTAATAATTAAATTGTTTGTCAAAGTTTCACCTGTTCACGGACAGAAGATCTATAGTCTTTTGGAACACATTTTACGCAAACCTAAAATTTTAAACACCAATAACGGTCTCTTCTACCGGCTCAGTGACAGTTTTAGTTAATATGAAATTACAGTTATTCCAAAAACGTGTTACGTGTGCATAATTACAATACACGCACTATAGTCGCAACAACTTATATATATGCTAAATTATGCACGCACATTTTTCTTCTCCGAATAAGTTAACTACGCATCATGTATCGAAGAGAAATTGTTGTATTCAATCCATGCAGTATACTGCTCAAAAATCTTAATTATTACAGGCTGTTTATATTGCTTCCATGACGGAAAAAGAGCCCGGCGAGTATAAGTTTTTGGAAAGCTAGGAAAAACGCTAGCATAATTAGACAATGCACTTAATTAACAAAATAGCCAAAGGTTATTAGTCGTTGTGTAGCGACAGTATTCTTATAAAAGGTCATTATGCTCATATCAAAATATTAGCTGAAGTATTTTTAGAAGACAACATTGATGTGAAAATATATAAAATTTTTGGAATAAGCAGGCGAGCAAAAAGTTTCCTTATAGTCATGACTAAAATTACTTGATGCACAATAATATTTTTAAACACCTGCATGCATGTGTTTCATGAGTGCAGATGTCACTTGCGAGTTGCGAGCCTCATTTTCATATTGAAGTTTATCGCATTCATAATAATTTTTTGCACATTGCACATCGACATAGCTTTGAAAAAGATAGAAAACTTGCTATTTAGATTTGTATATTTTTTTAAAAACAACAAGTATCTTCTCACTGATGAAAAACAGCATCTAAAGGATTTGAATTTTTTCCCAAAAGTTAAACAACTGCCGTTGCTATGGCAGCAATGACGTTTCAAGAAGGCGGATATTTTAGCTTTAAAGTAATTTAACTCGAAAATATCATCGGTGCATGAGCCTCAAAATTTATTTCATAAAATGATTTTTCTTAGTATACTAAGAAAAATCATTTTATGAATGAGTATACTCAATTATCTTAGCAATTGTAAGAAAATTTTGTTGTCGTTGAGAAAAAATTATTTACGTAATTTGAAAAAGTTTGGCTCGACAGACACTAAGATAAGTAATTTTATGAAATAGAATTTGGGGGTCACCAATGTCGTTTACGAGTTGAATTAAACTTCAAAGCAAAAATATCCGCCATATTGGAACGTCATTAGAGAGCTTTTTAGCTTCGCGCACTGATCTGAAATAAGACTGGATAAAGCGTCCTATTGAATTCAGTAATCCGATTTTGAAGCCAGAATATTTTGATGAGATAAGATTTATAAATCAGTCAAATTCATGACCAGTCTAATCGTTTGCTGTTTAAATTCAGTTAGACTATAAAGCAAATATCTTCGCCTATGTGACTTGTGAAATATAGCTTCCAAACTGCTCTTCGAAGTAGTTTTAGAACGTTTTATACACCACATATAACGAGGCTTAGGCCACATAAAAAAAATTACTTGTTTAGCGTCCCCGCCCGACCTGATAAAAGTCCCCGACCTCCAATTTTTTTTTATTTTTTTTTAAATCCATCCGAGTTTAGTGCAAAAACTCTCTATAAAAAAGACCGTTTTACTTGAAAAAATGGTGATTTTATTCTTCTGGGAGCTATGTAATACGTTTACTCCTTCCTCGCAGCTAAAGTGTTCGCGCGTGACCGCCAAACGGTATAATCATTTCTGTTTTATTAAAAACATGAACGGTATTAAAAAACATGAACGGATTTTGAAAGAATTAAAGTGAGTTTTGACTGTGGTAATATACTGGATTTCCTGCATTTAGCAGAATTTTGTGTTGCATTTTACGAAAAAAAAATAAAAAAATCCGCCCGCCCGACCTAGGAAAATTAAAATGGGTGGACGCTAAACAAGTAATTTTTTTTATGTGGCCTTATGCATGGCGGCCATATTTGATGGCCCCCCTCATTAGTTATTCACCACTAGGAAAAAAGAGAGACTACTGATGATAAATTCTTATCTATAGGCAATATTTGTCCTTTCCCTCTAGTGACTAAAAACGTAAAGGAACAGTAAAACATGTCCATTACACCAGATTAGATTAACTGGTGGGGCCATCCAATATGGCCTCTATATTGCCCATTGGCTTCACTTATATGCATAGCAGATGCTTTATCCAGTCTTAATTATTTCAGATTAGTGGCTTTGCGTTATACGTCAAATGGCAAACGCCAGGTAATTTAGGCAAGAAAAAGTTTACCGTATATCAGGCAATAAAAGAGTAAATGAACTTGCTGTTTTAATACTGCAATGTATGATTATTCTTTCGACCCAAGAAAGAAAATATGAAAAGAAAATGTCCAACGAAAATTTTGCTCAGAAAGTTCGAACCTGCATGCATTTGCCTTTCCTGAAAAGCTGAAGCTTAAACTCCCTATTGTTGTCATAGCAACGGCAGTTTCGTAACTTTTGTGCCGCGACTCTTTAGACGTTGTTTTACATAAGTATAAGATGATTTTTGTTTTTCGACAAGTAATACGCCCCAAAAATGCAGATCTAATTTTTTTATTTTTAAAAAGCTGTATCGAGCCATCTTCATCCAATAATACATTATTTGGTCTGGAAACGCATAAGAGGCAACAATAACTATTTCCTTGATCTAGACAACCAGAATTAACAGACAACAGTAAAACTTTTCCGCTTCTCATACGGACAGCACTGCATGCAGTGCATTAAGGTGCAGTCGCTGGAATACAGCTTCAACGTGGTTTATTAGGTGTTGTCGACTTGTATAATCTAGCTCCGTTAAACAATTTACCGTCAGGAATATTACTATAAACTATAAAATCTCTATAGACAAAAATCTAGTAGCACTGATAATAATTTGCACGTACTGCACTGACCATTTTCCGCGCAATATGTAATATTACTGCTATTGAAGTAATTTAGTAGCGAACTTGCTTCCATTATTAACTAAAAGGTAACTATGAACTTCCTATTTTTGTCGGTTATATATACGCAGCTGTTTGTAAATTGTTTTTGAGCAAAATCCACGACCTAATGGACAACTTGCATGTTAGACAAAATTTTAATCTAAGACTTAAGTAAAGAGAAGGGGATCAAACACCACAGGTAAAAAGAACATAATAAAATTAGTAAAATTGCAAAATTTGGTTGTAAAGCTTGGAAAATATAGTCTTGCAAAGTTTGCAAATTTTGTATATGTTTCTATATACGCGCATGCGGAAACAAATTGTTACCATTTCGGCTGAAAAATATAACAATTTCCGCACGCAATACGAACATATATACAAAATGTGCAAACTTTGCAAGGCTATATTTTCCGTATTTTACAACATTTCGTATATAACCAAATTTTGCAAAATTCCTAATTTTAATAAGTTCTTTACGGGTATTTACTTTTTTTGCCTATAGATAAAAAATTAGTCTAACATGCGTGCAAGTTGTCTATTGTTTATATTTTTAGCTGGACATTTATGTGAAGTACATAGACACCTCGTCTACAAGGACGAGTCAGTATTTTCAAGAGGTCGTGTAACCGTGTTAGTTCCGCACGTCCCAAATAAGACAGCTGGTATAATATTGTATAAACAGCTCATGTACTGCACGTAGTCAAACATTCTATGTTGTTGTTTAGCGTTAATGGGCATTACTCGTAAGAAACCGCAAACGGAATTAAATATGTTGCAGCCATATATATATTTTCCATCTTGCCGTATACATAACGTATTCATTATAAGGTGCAGAACGGAACGTTTTCAGCAGAAACAGGCCTCTATGATATAGTTTTTTTCAATTCATATACAATTTACCATCAAAGGTATCAATACTCATACAATAGAAAGTTTTACAATATTGTAGTATAAAAACTTTATAATCACTATCAAGTTACTTATCGTGAAATGTGTCTAAAAGGCAACAAGTGCACTCATTTTAAACCAAACCTTATACAATGTCACCTAATCTTCTAAGGTGACTTTATTTACAAACGTGCCAGAATTGTCTGAAAGCCTATAGCGGAAGCCTATATAGCGAAATACGCCGAAATTCGTCCACTTGGTCCGCGGTCTTTGTCCTAAATTCATAAAGTAACCTTACCCGAGCAGCAAGTGAAACTCAGCAACCAGAGATAATAGCTCAAACATTGCATTTGAAATAATAGCTTAAAAATTCACGCAAATTATTAGGAATAAGCTTTCCCGAATTTCTTGGCGCTTATTTTTGTATTCACGATATTTTGCAATGTTTTTAAACCTAATAGGCAATTCCAACTTTTAGTTTATGCGTGCAAGGGGTGATGGGAAGTAAGGTATCATATTGCTGATTATGCTGAAAAAATAAAAATGGTGGCCGTGTAAACACGGAGTGATAGCTTATACTTGTAAATATTGAAATATTTCGGTTGTTTTGGCAGATTTTATTGAAATTTTTCAGCATAATCAGCAATGTGATACCTTACTTCCCATCATCCCCTGCGCGCATGAACTAAAAGCTGGAATTGCCTATTCAAACGACTTAAAATCTTGTTTGTACTTTTCCTCATTTTGGGGACGGCCGGTAAATGCCGAGTAACTCAATTATTCCTCCTCCGTGTGAACTGAATATAACTGGAACGCTACCTCCAACCGGAAATTCGAAACCAAACTTGAATGCCAGTCCCAGTCCTTTCACGCATGCCAAGAGCACGGTCAATCCGTCAATATGTCTTAGTTAAAAAATTTACAAAAAAGCTCTTTAACAGCGCTTGGGAACTTTAATGCATTTATTCAGGCAGAACGTTCCAGTAGACCTTATACTTTTAGTATTTCTTATTAAAACAACATGTTCCCTCCCTAAACTGTCTCGCGAGGGAATCGTGAGGCTTCAAGAAAAAAGATAGGCGCTTTATCTGAAGAAAGCGTTCAGTTATATTCATTTCACCGATATAAACAGGCCCTAAATTATTATTGCCTGGAAAGTGGCCGTGTTTAACGAATCCCACCACGACTAAAAAAGTAGGCAATGTCGTGTATTTAGATTATACTTTTAACAAAATATGAATAATCATAAGCATGGCCGATCTACATATCTAATGCGCATGTCCGTGCGTATCACCGCTGTCCGTCTATATCTATATATCTAACACCATCTCTCCTCTTAAGGAATGTATCATAAAATATTGTTCATGAGTTCACTATCGTGTTCGAACAATTATGCTAACCATAACAGTAAGTAATGAAGCAGTTCTCTATGTACTATTTAAAAAACGAGCAGGAGTGTTTATTAGGTTGAAAGCCACGAGCGCGAAGCGTGAGTGGCTTTAGACCTAATAAAACACGACCCGCGAGTTTTTTAAATGACTTCAAAAACGTATGCATAATAAGTCAAATCTTTATATAAAAATCATTATATAAAAATCCTTATATAAAAACCTTTATATAAAAATCTTTATATAGTTTGCATAACAATGGTCTTTTGTTAAAGTGTTCTTTAGCTGGTATAAAGACGTATGCATGTGACTAATTTCTTACTCAAGATTGGATAATTGCTTCATGAATTATTAATGAGTTTTTGAAGTAGTTTTCTTAAACAGTCTCCGGATCAAACAGTTAAGACCCCACCTCTCGGGTGGTTGGTGTGATCTAGTTGGGTAGCGTTGTTCAGATCCTGTTGTAGCCCTACCGGTTTCTTGTTGTTGCACTACTGGTGGATTCGTGGCTAGTTCGATATCCGGCTCTGCGACAATTTCTTCTGCTGGTGCAATATTCTGGCCAGTCTCTCCGAGCTCTGGATGAGGTTCAGCCGTATCATCACTCTGGTCATTTACTTTCACACTCGAGGCTCGAAGCTGGTCGATGTGGCGTCGCCAAATTTGATTTGGACCAACTTTTATCTCGTACGAAAGGGGTCCCGTTTGAGCTCGAACTATACCTGGTAGCCACTTGTCTTTCCCACTGTAGTTACGTGCTATGACCGTCTGACCAATGGATAATTGGCGTGTAGGGCAATGTCCTTTCCTCCCCGCTTGATCGATTTGCCTGTTCATCACTTTCCTTTGTAAATCAGGTTTCACCAAATCGAGGCGAGTCCGTAGCGGTCTGCCGAAAAACAACACGGACGGTGGTTCTCCAGTCGTCGAATGCGGGGTATTCCGGTAAGCCAAAAGGAACTTTGCCATATTGGTTTTCAGCTGGGATGCACTTTGTTTCTCGCATTTCATAGCATGTTTTAAACTCCGTGTACAAAACGTTCCGCTTGACCGTTGGTTGCAGGGTGGAATGGGGCCGTGGTAATATGCTTGATACCATTAGTCTTCAAAAATAGTTCGGGAACTCTGCGGATGTAAATTGTGGCCCATTGTCGGTCACCACCTGTGCTGGCACTCCATATCGGGAAAAAATAGTTCGGAGTTGGTCAATGGTCTGCGTCGATGTGATATATGGCATTATTTCCACTTCAGGCCACTTCGAGTGTGCATCTACAATGATAAGGAACATTCGTCCTAGGCACGGCCCAGCAAAATCTAAATGGATTCTCTGCCAAGGTGTGGTTGGCCATTCCCAAGGGTGTAGTGGTACTTTGCCGGCTTCATTCTGTTGAAGTTAACAACCAGGCAGCTCTTGGCTAGGTGCTCAAGTCCTTAATTTTGGGCCACCAGATGTAACTTCGCGCCAGACACTTCATTTTAACAATACCGAGGTGACCTTCGTGAAGCTCGGTTAACACTTGATTACGCAACTTTGCAGGAATGACTGCTCTGTGTCCAAGCATTAGGACACCACAGTGAACTGTCAGTTCGTCTTTCCGCTGGTAAAATGGTTTAATCGCTTCATCTTGTGGAGTGGACCATCCTTTCATAACCAACTCATGGACCTTCACCAATAGAGGATCTCTCTGTGTTTCTCGTTTGACCTGTTCTGCTGTGACTGACAAAGGCTCAAACTGCGTGGCATAGAAGAGGCCCACTGGATCTGGCTTTTCTTCTGTTGTCTCACTATGCAAGGGTAATCGAGACAAACCATCCGCATTCCCGTGTAACTTAGTGTTCTTGTATCTAATTGTATAGTCAAAACCCGCCAAGAACAAAGCGTAGCGTTGTAATCTAGCAGCAGTGACAACAGGAAGGCTTGTGCTGGGATGAAAGATTGAAGTGAGAGGCTCATGATCAGTCAGTAAGGTAAAGTTCCTACCGAAAAGGTAATTGTGGAATTTCTTGACTCCCCACACTGTAGCTAGTGCTTCTTTATCTATCTGTGCGTAGTTGCGCTCCGCCTTCGACAGGGATCTCGATGCAAACGCTATCGGGCGCTCTGTGCCGTCTGTCATCACATGGGACAGTACCGCTCCAATTTCTATAGGTGAAGCATCACAAGCCAGTTGTAAGGGAAGGTTAGGATCATAATTGGTAAGCACCAGATCTGAAACAATCATTGCTTTAACTTTGCAAAAGGCTTCTTCGCATTGATCTGTCCAGTTCCATTGGTAATTACTTTCCAGCATTTGGTTCAAAGGATGCAGGATTGTAGCAAGGTTTGGCAGGAATTTGTGGTAATAATTCACCAATCCCAGGAAGGAGCGTACCTCTGCAACACTCTGGGGGCGAGGAGCATTCACCATTGCAGCTGTCTTGTCGGTGGTCTTGTGCAGGCCTTCACTATTAATGTCGTGGCCACAGAACGTGATCTTTTCTTTGAAGAACTCACACATCGATTTATTGGCTCTTAACCCATGGTGGTGCAGCCGTCGAAGGACCTCCTCCAGGTTAGCCATATGCTCTGCGTCGCTTTTACCCGTCACAATCATATCATCTAGGATACAACGTCGTCATTTCTGGACTTATAACAATCCCAAATTCGTCGCCACTGTCGTGTATTTAGATTATACTCTTAACAAAATATGAATAATACATAAGCATGGCCGATCTACATATCTAATGCGCATGTCCGTGCGTATGACCGCTGTCCGTCTATATCTATATATCTAACAGGCAAAATTTGAGTTCGCCATGCAATCAATGATCAGTAACACTTTTCTGCTTCTCATTGCATGTCAATGAATTTTACTCAAATATTCAACTTCATTAGTAAGCTGTATATTGAAAACTGCACGTTGTCAATAGACCCTTTCAAGATATTTTCCGCCATAATGAAACCCTTCAAACACAGTATACTGTAGTGCAAGGGGTACACGAACACAATGGAATTCCCTGTAGGTAAATTTGCATGCCGGGTGCAAACACAATGGTGACAACAATATATTCAAAATGGCGGAAAATACCTTCGAAGGGGCCATTTTATCTGCATGGTAAGTGATTTTTGTCTTGACAAATTAAATATTTAAACCCGGCGCACACTAGAGCTATGTGCTTAGCAAAATGTCATTCGTGACTGTTGGCGTAATTAGGAGAAAGCTCTCGTGTGCGGTGCACTTTTGTAAGTTTTTCGTCACTCGTGACTCGTAAGACAAATATCCAACGTGTTGAATATTTTTTGTCAAGAATGAACATTTCTTCCACGTGTGCGCGCTCGAAAAGCTATCACCTTTCATTGTAGATCGAATAGGCATGCGTAATAAAACATAAGACAAAAGGAAAATAATTATGGGGAATATTCATATGTCGCCACTCAAGTATCATATTCCTCATTAATTATTTTCCTTTTGTCTTATGTTTTATTACGCACGCCGCGCCTATTCTATCTACAATGAAAAACGATAGCTTTTTAAGCGCGCACACGTGGAGGAAATGTTCATTCGTGACAAAAAATATTCAACACGTTGGATATTTGTCTTAAGCGTGACGCGTCACGAGTGACGAAAAACTTACAAAAGTGCACCGCACACGAGAGCTTTCTCCTTACGCCAACAGTCACGAATGACATTTTGCTAAGCACATAGCTCTAGTGTGCGCCGGGCTTTACGTGCAATGCAATAGACAAATTTAGCTAACGTTGTTTATATCCGTTGCTACCTGCAATTCCCAACTTCAGACTAACTCACATGCCTATATTACCAACAAAAGTAACTAAGATTAGAGATCAGTGGCGTAGCGCTCATTGGTTAGGGTTAGTTCAAAAACTAAGGCCCCCCGACAGTTAGGGCCCGATCAGCCACGGTCTATCGCCCAGAAAATTAGAAAACGTAAAAAATGCAGGTGAAGAATCGATGGGAAAATGCGAAATTAATAATGCTAAATAATCAAGCCTCCATCGACGATGGTAGCTGATTTTTTTATTCCAACTCAAATTAAACAAAAGTTATTCTTAAAAGTTGTTACGTATGTTGGAGACTGTTATTGTCATTGTTATAGACACGGAATTTTCCAGAACATTCTATAAATGTTTAATATAAATATAATATCTCAGTCAAACAATGACAACAGGGGCCCACACACCGAATATGCCTAAGGGCCCGCTTTTCCTCCGTTACGCCACTGTTAGAGATGCGTATAAGAGTTATTCACTCAGGTAGATTATTCTAAAGCTTAGTTACCTTGTTCTATATATTCTCTGCTTTTGTAAACTAGAACAATGATAATTAGGCATGTGAGTTATCTAAAGTTGGGAATTGGGTATAAAAACAAACATTATCCAAATTTGTCTATTGTTCCCAATATCAACTATTTTTCTTCCTCAGGCCCGTTTCATACGCCGTACTTCACATGTGCCGAATACATTAAAAACAATAGATAATGAGGCATTTCAGCTCATTATCTATTGTCTTTAATGTATTCGGCACATGTGAAGTACGGCGTATGAAACGGGCCTCAGCGCCTTAATTTGAGAGGTTAAAGTGCCACTGCGATGGAAAATTGTGCTGTCTTTTTATTGTATATTCAGAAAGTATGTCTGTAGATAAACAAAATCACCAAATATCAGCGTCCAATTCCATTTCCTTCTGCCTTTTTTTTCAACGCAAACATGCAAATTTTTCGGCCGCCATTACTGAGTTGCCAATTAGCGAGATGTTGATTTCTTAGCCGGATGTGACGTCATTTACTCAACACGCTTCTTTCCCGAAGGAGAAATTAATATTATCAAAGGCTTATACTAGGCTGTTTTTTGTTCAAAATTATGTCTTCTGACGAAAGCCACAGCTCAAATTTTGCAACACAATCATCTTGCGAACTCTCTTTTGCGGAAGACGTTTCTTGTGATAGCGGGGGTGATGTAAATATGGAGAAAAGTGTGGATTTGTGCGAGGCCTATGATACTTCAGTCGAGCCTGTCGAGGCTCTTGCCACTGAAAAAACATAATACACGAAAAG